TTTGGTGGCGGTGGAGGTAGTAGGCGAGGGATTGGCCACGGGATGGGAGCTTGCATAGGCGGTGGAACGGGGGGGGGCACCGGAGCACCGTACCCCCTTAATTTTGCCATTTTAACATTAGCCCTATGGGCGTTGCATGGAAAGAATGGGACCAAAAGTCGGCAGTGCTCCCCCCCCCTAATTGAAGGTTTTCCGCCGCTACTGGGAACTTGGAGCCAAGGAGTTCATCACTGGGGGACACCATGTACCCAAAAGTTCGCGTCGTAGACAATCGTTACACCTGAGGAAGAGGGAACGAACATTGATCGACGAAACGGACATTGAGCGAACATTGACGAACGAACGAGCGTTGAGCTACCAGTAAATAATGAAGTAGGGATCTGAAATTTTGACAGACATGTTTTTTCGTTAAACGGCACCTATTGAAGGGGCGCAAGGTATCCAAATACGATTTTCGAAAATAAGGACCACCCTAATGGTCATTTCAGCTCTCTAGCATATTGCTATCTAAAGTTATGTACGAGTATTGTCTTGTAGTATTGTCAAAAAAAAATGTTGGAGACGTTTCATGACCTGAAATGGCCTCAGGAGCATAAACGGGTATTAGAAGCATTTTTCGGTTCAGTGTGTCATGATCACCTGTGTTTCTTGATGTTTGAGGGTGTTTTAAGCCAAAAGAAAAGCATTTCAATTTGTTCCTTTTGATTTACGTATAATGGAGAGGTCACAAAATTGACCTGACCTTAGGTCACCGATATCCAAATTCTGAGAGAAACAAATTGTTGTACTGATTTCCCCATGCAATACCTACCTACCCTGAGTTTCAAGCTACTGGAATGTATAATGTAGGAATGACTGAATCTCACAAAGTTCTTAGATACATGGTCACTTCACTTTGCCTGGTGACCTGAGATGACCATAAGTGACCTGGGGTCAGACATTTTTGCACACGTTACGAATTTGATGTATCGTAAGCTTTACTAAGTATGGATTTTATCAGGATTTAATTATTATCACAAGTTAATTTCACAAAATAACATTCATAAATTTCATTTCTTTGTTGCTGACGAAGTTAGCTGACGATCGTTTGTTGAAGGTGCAACGTCTTCACTTTCGGTTGCTAGGGACGCTCGGTTGCTAGGAATGGCGTCATCAGTAGCAAAATGCCGATGCCAGATGAAGATTTGGTGGGGGCCGGCCGCAACATAGAGGTCTCTGATACGGGAACGTCTCGGTATTTAGACCGCACTGGGCCATTCACGACGGTTGAGGGTGATTGAGGCCATCCAGTATGTAGCCAATGTCTGTCGCTAACTGGACGCACAGTCAACAAGTGACGCCGATGATTTGTCGGGAGTCAATCGCTGCAAGTTTATGCTCTTTTTTTGTCAGCTTTCACGAGTGAGCCATGTGGCCAAAACTGTGTGGCGCCAAAATGGCCGTCAAAAAGGTCTTAGCGTTAGAAAGTTGGTAAGCAGGCTTTTCAGGATGCATTACCAGCTGTCTAAGAGTATCATTTCGGGGTACCTAACTCAAGGTCACTTAAGCTCTACTTACTGGAGGGCTCAAAACAGTCAAAAACGTCTTAAAATGGCCAAACATGTGTTTCGTTATGCCTGAGGCTAAAAAAACTGGAGGGCCGATAACATCAATGTGGTCATCTGGACTACCTAGTCCGTGCTCGAGATAAAACACCCGTCGAAACCCCAAAACGGTCCCATGTGGGCGACGGAAAAGGCCTTTGTGTCATCCAGCTTTATTCCTATGCATAAGGCCAGGGTCACGGTAATGTGGAGTAATATGCGTCCAGACACTGATCACGTTGCGATTGATGCTCCAGAAACAGTCTTGGGACGCAGAATGCTTCTCCAAGAAGATCTAGGAGGAGTTTCAGCTTTCTAGCTTAACTCGAACCGCAAGTATGACCACATTTTTTTTTAGAAGAAAATGGCATCCGGGAGGTCGTAGGCCCATCTTCAAGCAAGACAGTGCATCAGTGCAGAGGTCAAGCAAAGCATAAAAGCGGTGCCAGGAGACTGTGATAGGCGTGTGTGGCAAGATCACATCCCAGGCAACTCATCGGATCCAAATTTCATAAAAATGTGTTGGGAATATTGAAATCGAGGCTCGTCGAAGCGAAGCGGTGTTCCAGCATTGAGGAGCTCACGGCGCATGCCAAGTCAGTCTGGGCTAACTTCAAGCCTGCTATGCTGCCAAACATGCCGGATGGCATGTCGCAGCATGTCATCACGTGTTTGCCTATGAAATGGGGAGCACATTGAGGGGTTATAAACATATCAAAACGCAATGTACTATGTTTTACATGCAAATAAAAGGTGAGAACGAACTTATGGGACACCCTGTACATTAATAATAGTGTAGAGACACCTAGAGAAAGACAGAGAAAAAAAACTGAAGGAGCAGCTCCATGGAAAGCTACAGTATGTGGGTTTTGATGGCAAACGAGACATCACAAGTGATAGAGGAAACCGTCGAAGGTGGTGAAATTATTCGACCTAAAAACACTAAACGGGAAGACCATCCCGTATGCGAGGCAGAGCCTGGCTGCACATATATCGACCACAGCACCCTCGACTCTGGCACCAGCAAGTCTGTAGCGAGAAATGTGACTGACCTCATTCGAGGAACAGAATCTAAAGACACTCTGCAAGCTGTTCTAGCGGATGGAGCCAATGTGAACACTGCAGGCCGGAGAAACGGCGCAATAGTCGAAGTAAGAGGGACGTTGAGATTAAGAATCTCCAGTGGCTGATATGCTTACCTAACACGAATGAGCTGCCACTCAGACACCTGTTTACGGCAATGGACGGTGGCCATGGCACTACTGGACCAAAAACGTTTAAGTGTCCCCTGGGACAGAGGCTGTGCGGGGACGTCCACCAGCTCCCCGTGGTTGAGTATCAACCCATACCCACCTGCGTTAAGCAACCGACCGGTGACGCACAGTCGGATCTCTCCGCCGATCAGCAGTTACTACTGAGCTATTGCCAGGCAGTCGCCGCTGGGCGGATACCAGTCAACACGGCTCGAAGAAAGCACAGACCAGTAAACTACATACTCCCGCTGGTTAACACTGGCCACCCGGCTGCTGATACTGTACACCCGAACAGACGAACCCAGCGAAAGCCTATTACACCTGGTAAGGTATACACAAGTCTACGCGCCGATGTGGTTTGCCGTGAGGTCTAACCCGCGCTTTGGTAAGTTTGATTGAAGTTCGCTATGACAATTCGGTTCTGCACCGATTCGGAGGACGTCGCTGTCGTGCCTGATATCGTATTTTCAGCCTCGTTGACAGATTCAGCAGGACTTGGGTGTGCAGAACCCACGCTAATATCAGAGTGCTCCTGCAGCTCCTGTGCTGTGCTACCACTGGCATCAGCAGGACTGTCCCGACCTGCACTGATCGTCGTCTCCTTCTAGCTATGGCTCGTGTCCCTTTCACGTCTACTGCTCCAATCACCTGCTGTCTTTTTCCTCTTTGGTCTCGTAAAAAAAATTCCATTCAGCGGGAGGCACCTTGCCTTTTTTTCTGGCACATGCAGTGGGCTTGCATTTTGTATTGGCATGGGCGACGACGGGCTCGTGCAGCCGCCTGGAGGTCGGGCATGTGACGGCGAGAAGGGCACGGGACGGCTGCCGGCTGCCTTGTGTGACGAGGAGTGCTGAAAACAGCGAGCACAATGGGAGAAAATCTCCTCCCGCAAACACCTTTTATCGAAGGATAAATACTTCATAAGAATTTTACAACTGAGGAAAATATCAAATTTCTTAATGGTCTACTCGTTTAGGGGCATTAATATACTTGTACCAAGCAACTCCAGGAGGATTGCTAGCATATGGCTCCTCAGCGAAGCCACTATTATTGACTGTTTACTATAGCAACAATGCAAGCTTAATACATATAATTAATTGTATTGTAAAAATTCTCATAAATGCATGGTTATGCTTCCATTTAGTCGTAATGTAACAATAAATCACCAATCTGGCCCGGAAAACGTTTCCCAGCATACTTAACAGAAGTTGTCGCACCACCTGGTGTTAGATACAACCCGCCGGGCCGCCCCACTATGGGAGACTGCAACGCCTGAAACGCGAGTGCAGACCTTTGTTCAACAGCAAAGCGCCCATGTAGACACTTTTCCAATCGCACTAAAAATTTGCATGTGATGTTCTAAAGGTATGAGGCCACTTTTCCACTTGTTGTAGGCTGCACTTTCCAAAAATCGATTTTTTCGAACCACCCTAATGTGCATGCTTCTGATTCGATTGATAACTGTAAACGGGCGCTGGAAGTGAAAGGTTCGCTTGATATACGAAAGGTGCATTGCAAGAAAGCACATTATTTCAGAAATACACTTTCATTTTATCTTGAGCGTTTTTGGAATGGGCCGGATGAATTCGTCATCAAACTGGTAAGGGATTTCGTTTGAAGACCACCGATATTTAATAATATGATGGTCTTCAAACGAATTCGCTGGCAAATTCGATGACTGGATTGGGCGGCGTAGGATCTGCTGGTCATCTGACTATGGGTTGAGCAATACGTTAGTTTTGACCTAGTTTGAGCTTCATTCGTTAAGTAGGAACAAGACGGTGCCTCTTTTGAGCATCGTCACTAAACAAGCCACCCTCGTTTTGACATTGTTTTTCGTTATTATTGTTACTAGGTACTTTGTTATCATACACAGCATTAACGAGGACCTGCTTCCAAAACAAGGCAGAAACGCTCCAGCTATTTTTGGGACGTGTTAAAAACTAACCGACACCTGGTAACTGTCATCTGACGAACACAAAACAAGCCAGGGGCTCGCAGCGTGTGTCAAAAGTAGGATGCAAAACTAGTCTGTACCTACCCCCGACATTTAGCGTTGAGAATCATTTGACGAGGGGCTAGTCAATATTTTTTACAGTGTATGCCGAGCTTACTCCTGCACTTACAACCTCGTTGACATGACCCCTCCCCCCTCTGCCCGCAGATCTACATTGACGGTCCGTACGGCACTCCGTCCAGTCACATTTTCCGCGCGCAGCACGCTGTGCTGATTGGCACCGGGATCGGCGTCACACCGTTCGCCTCCATCCTGCAGTCCATCATGTACCGCTACTGGAAGAACCGACACCGCTGCCCGCGCTGCGAGCACGAGTTCACCTCCGAGCTGCCCGAGGGCATCATGAACCTGAAAAAGGTACGTCCGGGACGCAGAAGGAGGGGAAGGGAGCAAACAGGGAGTGGGAACCTCGCGAGAAGCGGTGGGGAGGGGGCTTTCGTGTGACTGACGGTGGCAGCATAGGCTGTGATGTTGGTGAGAGCTTAGCTATTGAAAGGTGCCTGAAAATGGGGGAAGTAAAAGGCCTGGTGGGAAGTCTTTGATCTTGACGGAAATGAGGCAACTCACAAGTTTAATCACTTTGTAAGCAATTAACATGCTTGGGTTTCTCTGAAGCCTTCTGGGAAGCAATAATGCAAGCAAATTAACATTCATAGCTAGTAAAACCCGTTGGCGGGCTACATCAAAGGCAGAGTTGTTGGCACAGTGCAGTTTTCTTTATGTCGCTAAGTCCCTCTATTATTGGGAGGAGCCCTGGAACAGGTTCACACATAGAAGTGTCGTTAGATAGGAGCCGGAGCGATGTATTTCCCCAATAGCTGTGGCAGACGGCACCCACACGCGTCTGCCGGTGACCTGGGTGGCCGGCGCGCGGCTCCGGTGGCAGCGTGACCGCGACTTTGGCCGGCCGCGGGACGGCGCTGCCGATATATTTCGGGGCGGCGTCTGGCGGCGGCGGTCTGCGCTTTATTGGAGCGGCTTCTGATCGATGGTGCCCGTGTGCAATGTCGGTGGTCGGCCGGCCCGGCCCGGCGGCGCCGAGAGGGCACATTCCGCTCCGAGCGGTCGGCCCGCTACTCGGCGCCGCCGGCGGACGCCTGCAGTTTGATCAGCCGTGACGAATTGCCCCCAGAGTGATGGGCTCACAATACCTCGCGTGCTAGACGTATAGGCAGCTGCGACGAAGGGAGGATAATGTTGGTGCTGGTGGGAGTGGCTGGAACAAAAGCTTTTGGAAAGTGGCTGTCTATTTCGATAAAATCGATTAGCTCAATGCGATGAAGCGAGTTTTTGCGCCTACGAATATAGACCCCGGTGTTGAAAAATGACTGCTGCCACGAACAATGTGCGTCATGTTTGTGACGCTCGAGGTGTTAGACAAGACGCTCACGTTCGTCACCTTTTGTCCCTCATTTTAAATTCGCTTTTCTGACGTTTTCGCTGAATTGTGCTGCATGTAATTAATTTTCGAGCGATATCGTAAAGGATCAATAGAGTGCGTGGCCAACAACTATATCCAAGTCAAATGTAGCATACAACGAATCACGGACTCTTCTCCCCAAAATGCATTCATACCACATACTAACAATATCCTTCGACATCTCAAACAAATTGAATCGACGATCGGCCGTTTTTGCTACCGCCATACTGACTGCATCTATGCTGATCGTCAATCTCACACTACGCATGGTTTCGCCTCAGGTGGACTTTTTCTGGATCAACCGCGACCAGCGTTCGTTCGAGTGGTTCGTGAACCTGCTCTCACAGCTGGAGATTGAACAGGCCGAGCAGGGAGGCGTCATGGACCGCTTCCTCGACATGCACATGTACATCACGTCGGCGCTGCAGAAGACGGACATGAAGGCCGTGGGCCTGCAGCTGGCCCTCGACCTGCTGCACGAGAAGGTGGGTGTGATGGAACCGGAGGAAGGGGTCGAGGAGGGGTGCCTTCTCGCCATATAGGGTGTAGACGATGATGGAGAGAAACACCAGATGACTCGAAGATAGTGTGTGTGTGTGGGGGGGGGGGGAGACTTTTTCAAGACATTCTAATGCATAGAATGATTCGCTGAATCATTTTATCTATTTATTCAAATGAAGTCCTGTAGTCCATTTCGTATTTCGAAGCGATAGATTAGACAGCATAAAACGCAGTAATAACACCGATCGCTGCTGCACTGTATGCTCTAACCATGGCTTTCCTCTGTCTCACAGGAGAAGCGTGACATGATCACCGGCCTGAAGACGCGGACGATCGCGGGCCGGCCCAACTGGAACAAGGTGTTCCGTCAGATCCAGGAGCAGAAGAAGGGCAAGGTGACGGTGTTCTTTTGCGGCCCGCCGCAGCTCTCCCGCACGCTGCGCTACAAGTGCGACGAGTTCGGCTTCAAGTTCCGCAAGGAGAACTTCTGAGTGGTCAGCGTGAGTGGGCTCGCTGAAGAGGGGAGAAGGAAGACGTGGAAGCGCCTGTTGAAAGAAGACACTGTTGTAAGAGTGCTCGGTTGAGCGTGAACATGTGTAACGATGCTGCCGTAAGTAGGGTAGAGACAACGATGGCTTATGCTTTAGCGTGGAGTTTGTAAGGGATAGAGCGCCGTGAGGGTCGTCGCCCAGAAACCGAATGACCGACCTGCGGAGTCACTGAGTTGTAGGAGTACCCGCTGAAGGAGGACCCGCTCCGTTACCGTGCGTCCATGACTGTGTGTCCGAGGTTGAGAAATGCTGAGTGAGAAGTCCTCTTCATGGGCTGAGTTCGAGAAGAGGGATGTGGGAGTGATCGTTTGAGAAGACTGCGTTGCTGGCGATGGATGGTGCTTCCAGGTTAGCAGTTGTTTATCGACATACGATGCATGACAATTCGAGAGCCATATCAACTGTAAATGCTTCGAGTTGACGACCAGAATCTTGACAAGACAAGCTTGGATACTTTCTTGAGAGCCATCAGATTATTGATGGCCTCACATGTCCTGGTGTTTTGTACATTTGCCTTAATTTTAATGCAATGGGTGTATGCCCATGTTTTAGAGGACTGATAGTGTCACGATGAACATATATTAATCGGTGTCGCTTGTATTCTTTCATGTATGTCTGCCTATATCACACTCAGATGACTTAGTAGTAATGAAATAAACCATACTCCAGAATCACCAACTTTTCAAGAATGTTCGGGATTCCGCGATATAGCTCAGTCGGGAAAGCGCTGGATCGCTGGGCCGAATGGAGATGAGATTGCGGTTCGAGTCGCGGTTCGAGTCGAGTTTTAGCCCGTGACGGCCGGGAATGGTATGTGTTCAGTCGCGGAGACCGAGTTGCAGGGTAAAGGAGCTCTGAAGGTACGAGCAGTTCTTGGCTTGGCTTAGACACATCAAAAGTTCCAATTTAGATGCGCTGTGTATCCGAAATTGTCCCGCAAGACACTATAGGTCAAGGATTGCACAAGTTTCGTTTAGCATGAATGCTGGCCTTAAAGGTAGTGTGCCAGCTTTCCTGGACCGTATGGAGTTAATGGCCCAGATAAGGACAACCGGATTTTTAGAACTTATCCATACCTTCAAAACTCATGGAAACGTCTTAAATTCTTCAAATTTTGAGTACCCCAGTGCGAATTTCGCCCCGACGGGTTGTCGGTCGTACCCCAACCACATTTCACACCACTATGAACAATAAATGCACACACTGAAATTGCTATTACCTATAGGCTCATCCAATCAAGTTTCGATAAACCCGTTCATCATCATCTCCTGCGGTTTCGAACACGCCTGTTAGGTGGTGCGGTAGACCGCGCCCAAAGCCAGGGCCCCGGTAACGTGAGGTAGCCGAGTCGGGGCAGCGTGCGCTGACCCAAGCCGGGGCCGCGCGTCTTCCCGGTGTCATGTGATACCCCGGGGCTGCCCGGGGATGCGGTAGACCGCGCCCAAAGCCGCGGCCCCGGCTTGGGTCAGCGCACGCTGCCCCGACTCGGCTACCTCACGTTACCGGGGCCCTGGCTTTGGGCGCGGTCTACCGCAGGTGGCTTCTGCTCATACTTTGTGGTGCGGTGGTGGTGCGTCGGGCCGCGCGCTCTGACTTCGGCCAAGAAAAATGCGTCAGCTGATCATTGTCATTTCTGCCACTTTCATGTGGTGAGATGGGGTCATAACTTAAAGGTAGTGTGCCAGCTTTCCTGGACCGTATGGAGTTAATGGCCCAGATAAGGAGAACCGGATTTTTAGAACTTATCCATACCTTCAAAACTCATGGAAATGTCTTAAATTCTTCAAATTTTGAGTACCCCAGTGCGAAATTCGCCCCGACGGGTTGTCGGTCGTACCCCACCCACATTTCACACCACTATGAACAATAAATGCACACACTGAAATCGCTATTACCGATATGCTCATCCAATCAAGTTTCGATAAACCCGTTCATCATCATCTCCTGCGGTTTCGAACACGCCTGTTAGGTGGTGCGGTAGACCGCGCCCAAAGCCAGGGCCCCGGTAACGTGAGGTAGCCGAGTCGGGGCAGCGTGCGCTGACCCAAGCCGGGGCCGCGCGTCCTCCCGGTGTCATGTGATAGCCCGGGGCTGCCCGCGGGGATGCGGTAGACCGCGCCCAAAGCTGCGGCCCCGGCTTGGGTCAGCGCACGCTGCCCCGACTCGGCTACCTCACGTTACCGGGGCCCTGGCTTTGGGCGTGGCTTCTGCTCATACTTTGTGGTGCGGTGGTGGTGCGTCGGGCCGCGCGCTCTGACTTCGGCCAAGAAAAATGCGTCAGCTGATCATTGTCATTTCTGCCACTTGCGTGTGGTGAAATGGGGTCATAACTTAAGAGACGGCTTTTTCATATCAATTATTTTACATAAAATCATATTTCAAACCATAAATAATGTTCGACAGCCAAATAAAAGAAACAATACCAATACAGGCTTACAGTTTAAGGCTCGACATTGTGTTGTCTACGATTAGACAGCTGATAACTCATTCCCGTACGTCGTAACTCTATAATGACCTTTGCTTATTGTCACATGTGCGCCGCATTCGCGATTGTTGCCGACGCCTGTTTGCAGGTCAGCCCACTACAGTTGTTATACATATCGAAAAACCGATAAACTTTTAGGCGAAAAAGGCACTATTCCAGGCCCATTTTTGATTTTCTTTGCGATATTAGGTAAAAACAGAAGCTTCTTATCCTAGGAAAAATAAAATGGGAAATCTTTCAAAGGTGGCACACTACCTTTAAGAGACGGCTGTTTCATATCATTATTTTACATAAAATAATATTTCAAACCATAAATTAATGTTCGACAGCCAAATTAACCCTATTAGTGGCAGGGGGGGGTTGTTTTTATCCACCCCTCAGGTTTTTCGGGAATATCTCCGAAACCGCTGAAGCTACGATGCTGAAATTTTCTGACTTTTCCTAAAACTAAACTGGGCACATTCCCTGAAAATTTCAAGTTCATAACTTTACCAGGGGCGGCTCCAGAGCACTGGGAATTGGGGGGTCCTATTCGTGAAGCGAGTCATTTGGGCGAAGATCACGATGCTGCACCAGTTTTACGAACAGTGAATGAAAGGTATCATGTGATAACATATACAAAGTTATTGTGCATCCTCTTTTGACACGTTTTTGCTATAATAGGCGGATCCAGGCGTCCAAAAAGGGGGGTTATTTTTTACCTCCCAACATAGGTGCCCTGACACCGCCTATGCATGACCAATACAATTTTAGTCGTTCTCTCATAAGAAAATTGTAACATAACAAGACCATTGCCACCCTTTTTAGAAACAGTACCAACAAAAACCTTATTTACTATACTTTTTGTGTACCCCCAATCTCAATGATCTGTATCCGCCTATGATTTTTGAAAATGCATATTTTTAGGATCCATGTGAATTCCTGGTTCATTCTCTATCGATCGGCAAAAGTTGCGTTAAGATTGGTTCAGAAACCTGGCCGTGATAAACAGTCTAAAATGTATCTGCAATTTGCCCTTTTTTACCCCCCTCTACCCCCCTATTGACATTTTTTATTTTATTTTTTTTAGAAATGTAGATCTCGTTGAGCCAAATCGAATGCCGTTTGAATTTTGAAAATCGGCCCGTTAGATCTCGAGATATCAAGGGGGGGTCGTAAACAGCCCCCCCTGCCACTAATATGGGGTAGCCAGGAGCCTGCCACTAATAGGGTTAAAGAAACAATACCAATACAGGCTTACAGTTTAAATTCGACATTGTGTTGTCTACGATTGGACAGCTGATAACTCATTCCCGTACGTCGTAACTCTATAATGACCTATACTTTTTGTCACATGTGCGCCGCATTCGCGATTGTTGCCGACGCCTGTTTGCAGGTCAGCCCACTACAGTTGTTATACATATCGAAAATCGATAAACTTTTAGGCGAAAAAAAGCACTATTTTAGGCCCATTTTTGATTTTTTTGCGATATTAGGTAAAAACAGAAGCTTCTTATCCTAGGAAAAATAAAATGGGAAATCATTGGAAGGTGGCACACTACCTTTAAAAGTTCGCCTATCTGCAACATTTGGACTAAGTTTGAAAAAGGCAATCGCGAGCCAGCAAGAGCTTGGGTACCGAACTTCCGAAACGGTCAGCACATTCTGCGATTGCATCGTGTTTCGTCCTAAGCATCACCTTATGAAGTACATAGCATTACTATATACGAGTATGCCCATTAGCCCCCTGTCGACTATTCCTTTTTTCAATGGATACTTTTCTTGACAGTTTTTATCGGTTGCTCTGAATAATCGAACTGATCTGTCGAGACGATATCGGTGTTGCCTGTGTCCGGTCGGTCGCTGGTGGGATGACCGGTCGGTCGAGATGACCGATCGAGCCGCGTCACCGATCGGGCCAGCTCGATTGGTCCCAGCAGTCGGCCGCTGCAGTCATTTGAAGAGCTCGAGTTCCGTTTTTGTTCTGGCTGGGTTTTTCGCGGCCGGAGGCTGGGACCGGCGCGCTGCTCTGTCGGGTCCCATCTGACGGGTATCGATTTCACCGGGACGGCCTGGCCTGCGGAGCGAGCGCCGCAGAGACCGTCCCGACTCGCACGGGGGAGGGATACGGAGAGTCTTCAGTATACGCAGAGCAAGGATTCCGAGCTGCTGGTCCGTGATGGAGTCAAAGTGGCAGACAGACTGAGTTACCAGTGCTGGCGAGCCATCGGTCCTCGAGCTCTGCTCTAGCTCCATCTCCTCTCCAGCAGGGACTGCCGATCCTCCAGTCTACACCGACTGAGGGGATGCTATCGAGACTCCGAGTCACAACTGGCCCTGGCCAACGGTTCTCGACGGAAACTCGATCGCCCACTTTAATATAGAGTAAAAGTTCGAGACGAATTTTAAATATCAATAATGCCCTCCGAAGTTCGCTTTCGCCCGCACCCTTTTCGAAGCTACGTATAAAATGGACATTACTATAGTCGTCAGTTCTGCCGGCCTAAATAAATAATTCCCGAGTGGCCGTTTTGCGAAAGGTTACCCTGTACGTGGCCTCCATACGCGGATTGGAACCATTCGACACAGACGGTCTCAGGGTTCCGCTCCACGGTCGGTTAGCAGACTGTCCATGGTGCAGCTCAGGGGCAGGGCTATACGGTACATTGAAATCCAAAATGCCTGCCGGGGATGTAGTGAAATGTAGTGGTGCAGCGGAGCGAGCGCTGGCTGGCCGGACCTGGCCGCTGGACGCTGCCCTGGGTACGGGCGGCCGTCACGCGCCCGCCGACGGTGAACCTGACACCGCAGGGGAATGGGGTCGGTGAACTGACGCCGCAGGGGAGGGGGCGGAGGGCACGCCCGGCGATTGTTCGGGATTAAGAGGCTGAGTCAGTCGGGAGTCAGGGCTGAGACTGGAAGGTGTTGTTGAGCGTGCTGTGGTGTGGCCGAGGTGGTGCAGAAGACCGTGCTTTGTCTGACTTTGTAAGCTTGGAATACTCACTTTTTTCTTGAGACCTTTGGATTTGCCGTGTGGACGAACTGTGGTGATCACAGACACCTCCTACAAGCTATTTCGGCACCTAAGATTATGGCCAGTTTTGATGTCAAATTAATTCCGGAATTCGACGGCTCCGGTGACGTGCTCGACTGGCTGGAAAAGGTCGAGCTAGTGTGCGGGCTGCAGGAGCCGCCAGTGAGGCAGACACTGGTGATACCGCTGCGGCTGAAAGGAGGAGCATCTGCTGTGTATCGGCAGCTGGTGGAGGCTGACAGGAAGGACGTGGTGAAGCTCAAGGATGCGCTGAAGCGTGCGTTTGCGGTGGATAAATACGCTGCGTATGAGCAGTTCAGCACCCGCCGTCTCCGCCCCGGGGAAACAGTTGATGTTTTCTTGGCGGAGCTGCAGCAGCTTGCGACGCTGTTTGGAGGAATGTCGGACGAGGGCCTGGGGTGTGCCTTTGTGGCAGGTCTGCCGGACTCTACCAGGCAGATACTGCGAGCTGGAGCGCGCATGGAGTCGTTAAAGCTCTCGGAGGTGGTGGACAGGGCTCGCGCCATCTTGCGAGAGGAGAACGGCGCATCGGAGGTGGCAGCCGTGGTGGTCAAAGAGTCACCAGGCGGTCGGGATCGCGGCCGAACCGTTAGTAGCGGCAGGAGAGAGCGCGGACCTTGCTTTACGTGCGGCCGCCTGGGGCATCTCGCCCGTGAATGTTCGGCCCGCACTGGCCCCCGCGAAATCCGGTGTTTCCGGTGCGACAAGATTGGTCACATCGCAGCTCGGTGTCCGGAAAACGCGGAGAGAGAGGAGGATCGTGTGCCGGCCTCCTCTCGGGATTAAGATGGAGCGGCGCACTACCAACGAGACACCTGAATGTGAACGGGGTGTTGTGTGAGGTGTTGATCGACACGGGATGTACCAGAACGGTGGTTCATTCATCGCTCTGCGCCGAGTGGAAGAGGCGTTCTGTGTCCATGGTGACAGTTAGTGGTCAGAGAGTGGACTGTGCGGGCACGGCTGAAACCGATGTTGGGGTACCTGGGGGTGATGCTGTGGTGCTTGATGCGTTGGTTGTAGCGGTGAAGCCGCTGGGTTTCGGTGCAATTTTAGGAATGGATGGTGTGAAAGCTCTTGGGGGTGTGACCGTGCGTTCTTCTACTGATGTGCGATTTGCAGGCGAGGGAGACGTGTGCGCCGGAGCAGGAGGCTCCGTGGATCTAGCGGTGGAAAAGGAGGACTTTCGAGTCGTGTTCGATGCGAGGGAAAGGCGCTGGACTGTCGAGTGGAAGTGGTCGGGAAAGAAACCGCCAGATCAACTGAAAAACGGAGTGAGCGAGTACCATGTGACGGATGAAGCGAGAGAGGACTATGAGAGAGAGCTGGAGACGTGGATCGAGAACGGGTGGCTGCTGGAGTACGACGAAGAAAAGCATGGCTCTCCCAAAGGGTTGATACCGTTAATGGCGGTGGTTCAAGAGAACAAGGCGAAAGTGCGGCCGGTCCTTGACTTCCGGGAAATGAACACTCACGTCGACACGTTCACGGCGGACGTTGACGTGTGCAGTGAGAAACTTCGTGAATGGCGCCGGACGGGTGAGAAAGTGGCACTCCTGGATCTGAAGAAGGCGTACCTTCAGATACATGTGGAGGAGTCACTGTGGCCCTATCAGACAATCGAGTTCAAAAACAAAAGGTACTGTCTGACGAGACTTGGGTATGGTCTTAATGTGGCACCCCGAGTCATGAAGACAGTTCTGGAGACAGTGGCGAAGCAGGACAAGAATGTGGAGAAGGCAGTATCGTCGTATGTCGATGACGTTCTGGTCAACGAGGAGGTAATGTCGGCCGAGAAGGTGGCCGAGCACCTTCAAGCCTTCGGTCTCGAGTGTAAGGACCCCGCTCGCGCACAGGAAGGCGCTCGGATTCTCGGCCTCCGAGTCTGGGGGGAGCAAGGCGCACTCATGTGGAAGAGAGACAACGATGTCCGAGAAGTTGCCGGACCGGTGACGAAGCGGAAAGTGTTCTCCCTCTGCGGGCAGCTGACGGGGCACCTTCCGGTGTGCGGCTGGCTACGGCCGGCGACCTCGCTCCTCAAACGACGTGCGAACAGAGCAGCAAGTGGCTGGGACGACGAGATTGACGACCCGGACGTGGAGCGTCTAATGGACGAAATTGTGAAGCGGGTCAGAGCAGAGGATCCTGCCAGGGGACGGTGGGATGTGAAGGGCGACAGAATCACAGTGTGGACGGATGCCAGTGCTCTGGCCATGGGAGTAGTTGTTGAAGTGGGTGACGAAGTAGTGGAAGACGGGAGCTGGCTTCGCCCCGACAATGGAGTACAACACATCAACATGGCAGAGCTAGACGCGGCCCTGAAAGGCGTGAACATGGCCATCCTGTGGGGCGCGGAAAGAGTCCGGTTGATGACTGACTCACGGACGGTGTACCACTGGATGACCGACCTCCTCAGTGGCAGGGCCCGACTGAAGACGAAAGCTGCCTCCGAAATGTTGATAAGAAGAAGGCTAAGCACCCTCAGGATGCTCGTGGACGAGTACGAGCTGGACGTGAATGTTCAGTGTGTCTCGTCGGCTGAGAACAAAGCGGACGCACTGACGAGAGTGCCGGACGCCTGGCAACGATTGCTTATGTGCAAAGAGGAGGCTGCAGCATGCGCTGTGGGAGACGGAGACGACCCCGACAGGCTGGTGAAAGAGGTGACCCAAATTCACCACGCTTCTGGTCATCCTGGTGTCCGGAGGACGCTATACTTCGCTAGGAGGGCGAACAAGCTCGCTACGAGACGACTTGCGCAGGCCGTGGTGTCGGCCTGCCAGACGTGCAGGTCTGTTGATCCCGCTCCTGAAAAGTGGCGCGAAGGCCGCCTGGAGGTCGACACCACGTGGGACAGAGTCGCCGTCGACGTGACTCACCATCATGGGTGTCTGTACCTAACGGTGGTGGATTGCGGCCCATCCAGGTTTGCGATCTGGCGTCTCCTGCGGTACGAGACCGCCGCATGCGTCATTGCGGAGCTGGCGGCGATATTCTGCGAGCGGGGACCGCCGGCAGAAATGTTGCTGGACAATGCCACCACCTTCCACAGCAGAGCGTTTAGAGCTTTCGCCAACGACTGGAACGTCGCAGTACGATACAGGGCGGCGCATGTGCCGTCAGGGAACGGAGTCGTCGAAAGGAACCATCGCTCCATAAAGGTGATTGCGACGAGAGCGAAATGTGGGGTGGCAGAGGCAGTATACAGGTACAATACAACGCCGAAGGACGACGTCACTGAAGCTACGACACCTGCTGGTATGGTGTATCGGTACGACGTCCGAGTGAAAGACGTCGACCCCGCTCCGACAGTGAGGGACGATGGACAGCGGGACAGCCGCTACCACGTCGGAGATGCTGTCTGGGTGAAATCACCGAGAGCACGCTGTGACGAGCAGTATGGCAGGGGAGTGGTGACTGGTGTGGTGTCACCGCAAACTGTCGAAGTTGACGGTGTACCAAGGCATGTCCGTCATCTGCGTCCGCGTGCAGACGAGGCAGAGCAACCAGTTTCCACAGAGGCAGAGCAACCAGTTTCTGGGGATGAGGAGCCCTGCTTTGTACGATGTCCCATCGACCGGCATGACCGAGACGACCAGCAAGACCAACAGGAGGAAGCTGCGAGTGACACAGAGGCTGGGCCGAGGCGAGGTACGCGGGCTCGGCCTGTCACGCAGTTGTACGGAGACCCCGTGCCGAGCGATGTCTTAGATACCTACGTATGAGCGTTGTTAGCGTGTGATGTGAGCACTAGCGTCTGTTGGTTGCGATCAGGATCGGGGGGGAGTGTAGTGAAATGTAGTGGTGCAGCGGAGCGAGCGCTGGCTGGCCGGACCTGGCCGCTGGACGCTGCCCTGGGTACGGGCGGCCGTCACGCGCCCGCCGACGGTGAACCTGACACCGCAGGGGAATGGGGTCGGTGAACTGACGCCGCAGGGGAGGGGGCGGAGGGCACGCCCGGCGATTGTTCGGGATTAAGAGGCTGAGTCAGTCGGGAGTCAGGGCTGAGACTGGAAGGTGTTGTTGAGCGTGCTGTGGTGTGGCCGAGGTGGTGCAGAAGACCGTGCTTTGTCTGACTTTGTAAGCTTGGAATACTCACTTTTTTCTTGAGACCTTTGAATTTGCCGTGTGGACGAACTGTGGTGATCACAGACACCTCCTACAGGGGACTTGGATGCTGATGAACTTTGGTTCAATCGCAAGGTAACAACAGTTTCTTCGTTTTATCAAGCAGGCTGCCAATGTTGAAATATTTCTGACATAAAACTGTGTCGTCAGCATATCATCCACTGCGTTATCCGTCAAAGTCATGAATCACATGGTCCGTATTGTATTGATGACACATGACAGCTCGTAGGATCACAATTTAGGCGGGCGGGCGGTTGGGCGGGCGGGAGAGGAGAGGCGGGCGCGGGGGGGGATGGGTCAGCAGCAGGCGGGGCCGGCGGGCGGCGCACGTGCAGCAGCGCTCGTGTCGACGAGGGCGGGGCTCTGGCCCTCAGACGACCGGTGACGCCGCCGGCTGCGGGCCGCCCGCCGGCCCTGTACAAAAGTATGACAAACGCCGCGAGCCGGCGCCGGCGTCGGTGGAAAGGCGAGCCGCCCTCTGAGTCGGGGCGGGCCGCCCATCTGACCTGAAACCTGAGACGGCGCCGCCCGGCCGGCCGGGTGACGGCCCAGCGCCGCCGCAGGGCTACTGTGACACCTCTGACCGCGGGCAGACTGCGGCTGGTCCCGCACACCGCGTAACAACGTCCCGGTCACCGACATCGGGTCATACACAGCTCTCACACATACACAGACACCCAGCGACCGGCCTGTGACCGCGGCACAGGTCACCGGACACAGGAACACAACCGACACTGAGCGGCCCACACAGCGCCTCTCCGGTCACAGCTGGTGCGGTCCCCGCTGACCCCTGGTCTGACCTGACCTCTGACCTGACCTCTGCTCTGTCCCGCTCCCTGGTCTGACCTGACCCCTGACCTGACCTCCGCTCTGCATCGACCCCTGGTCTGACCTGACCCCTGACCTGACCTCTGCTCTGTACCGCTCCCTGGTCTGACCTGACCCCTGACCTCACCTCTGCTCTGCATCGACCCCTGGTCTGACCTGACCCCTGACCTGACCTCTACTCTGTCCCGCTCCCTGGTCTGACCTGACCCCTGACCTGACCTCTGCTCTGCATCGACCCCTGGTCTGACCTGACCCCAGGCTCCACCGACCCCTGATCTGACCTGACCAGGTCATCGTTCAATCACCCACCCCACATGGCACTGACTGCATCCTCCGCGTCGCATACGCCATGTTTTGGGCGAATTCCGTCGACTATCAATCGTTTCCGGTCGGCGCTTCCTTTCGGTCGACTGGCTAGTGACTCGGAAGATAACCAGTCACTATTCAGACCGACTGGAGCTGGAATGGGGGCCTCCGCCCGTCTCTTTGGTCGTCTAAGGAAGGGCGGCAAGCTCCATCGTGGCATCTACCGAACCCGTGCGAGTCAAAAACAGATTCACCAACTGTGAAACATTAATGCCATTATTGTTATATTAATTAGGTAAGTTTGAACTTTAATGCAACGCGGACAGTTGATTGCTTGAGTGAAAATGCAAAAATATACTGTTGATTGAGCATTTAATCGTCCGTATTTCCCCGCCGCCTGCTCCGTTTGAGCCGAGGCTGGTCCTGAGCCGTCACTTGTCATAACCAGGGCGGCGCACTGGCCCGTCATCAAGTTCGGAGGGAGTGGGATGGCGCGGAAAAATACGATAGCGGTGCGCCGTCCGACGACAGCTTCTCTCCACTTCCCAAACTTAGATTAAAAACGACGGACGCGAAAAGCACTCTTTTCCGCGGCCGCTCATCATTTTGGCAGCGACCGACCGACTTCAGGAGGCTTTGTCACCTCGGAAACGCAGCTTTTGAGAGCTCTGCCTCAGCCGCGACATTAAGTTCTTTTCTGATGTAAAGTTAATGTATTGAATTCCGAATACAAGCTTGTCTAATCGTTTGCGAGATGTTTTAGTCATGTGAAACAGAGATAATTGATTCGCTAAAAAATATAGAGGTAACATGCTTCCAAGATGGATGGTCAGCCAATGATTTTTTTCGCTGTTTAGCAGGCAATATATTATCAATCACGCGTCAGTTGTTCGAAAAGGCGTGGAACGTTAACTTTTTGAGCAGCGAGCAGGGCGTTGGTAACTCCCTGGGGGGGGGGGGGGGGGGGGGTCAGAATGCAGATCAGGAGTCAGGGATACCGCACTCGCACCCGCACCCGCTCCAGCACTTACACCCCATGTGCACCAGCACCAGCACTGAGATCAACAGCAACACCCGCATCCTTCCGTGCACCCCTGCACCCCGCCCTGCACCCTCCCTGCACCCACTCAGCTGCGCGCAGCCAGCCGACACACAAGCACGGGTCGTCCACCGGCTATGGAACGAATGGAAGCGTATCATTTTGAGAGCGCACAGAGCGACACACACACGCACACACACACACACACACGAAAACGCATCGCCACAACGGCACGTGCCACCACAAATAACATCGCACACATACGTGCTGCTCCAACGTCACTGGTCACGGACAGACTAGCATCGCACTCAAGATAGCCTTTCAGGTCTGTTGGTAGTAAAAATACTCATACACCACAGAGAGATCGGTCGCCGGCGCGTCACACCTGTCGCCGGCGCGTCACGCCCGCGCCACCAGTGTCTGTGCGCCAGCGGCGCGCTACAAGTACTGCACGATGTCGCACTTGACGGTGATGTTGGGACAGGAGGCAGCCGCGTGCACAGGCGCCGGCCGCGCGCGCTGCCGCTCACTGACCAGTTTGTGAAAGATGGGCAGGATGGCGCCCGACAGGGGCCCGTCGCCGCCGGCCGGCGCTGCCGACAGGCTGAGGGGCGCGTCACCCAGCAGACGGGGACAGGAGGCCGAGGAGCGCGCCGAGAATGACGACCGGTCCGGCTGAGGAGCGTCACCGCCGTCTGTGGGAGGAGGGACGGGTGCCAGGGTCAGGGGAGGGTCAGGGGAGGGTCAGTAGAGGGTCAACTGGAGGTCAATAAGGGATTAGTTATGGAGTGACACCTCTGTGAAGGGGGGGGGGATGGGGGGAGGGTTAGAGTGGAGGTCAGAGGGAGGGTCAGGTCCAGGTCACCGCCACCTGCGTGTGGTGGACAAGGGACGGAAGGTCAGGCTCAGGTCACCATCATATGTGATAGGTGTAATTACTAATTGATAATGGGTCAATGTGATATTTTAGAGGCATGGAAACGTAGATATATTTTATACCTATATTTATGTAGGTACTCAAAAGCCTTACGTAGGTATGTCATCGTAGAGGAACTAAAACTTTCTGTTAGCATCAGAAGGACGCGTTTTGTGCTCCGCAATGGCTCGCCACGACTTTGCGTGTACGACGCCAATAACAAGGCGCGTGATACACCGCTTTTTGCCGGCAGCCATTCGACGTGTGGGCCACTACATGTGACGGAGTGACACGGCGCTCCACCGCCGCCGGTCACAGCACGGGCCGCCACTCAATAACCGTCCCAGACAATCCAATTACACGCCAATACGGCACATCGCAAATACAAGCCGCGCATAATGGAGCGCCATAAATATTCTGTAAGCTGCTCAGCGGCGGTGTGGCGGCCCCCCAGGACGCTTCTTGTCTGTGTCGATGTGGTCCGCCGTACCCCCCCGGTCAGCCGCCACACGTCACAGGCGCGCTGTCACATGTCCAATGAAAAACGGTATAAATACGGTGTGAGGGACGCAGATGAGAAGTGTAGCGGAGTGGCTCTGGGAGCCGCTAAACAGTTTAGATCACAGAGAACGGACAAATCGATCACCTGATGCAATGCGTGTTGCGTAACCTACCAAAGTAGTTATGTTAGCATGTTTTGCTCACGATAACGTACCACATGAAAATGACGAAACGAAGAGAAAGCAATAGAGAAGCAAGAGAAAGAGAAAGAGAGAAAAAGAGAGATTGAGAGAGAGAGAGAGAGAGAGAGAGAGAGAGAGAGAGAGAGAGAGAGAGACGAGGCGAAGAGGAAGAAGGGAAAGAGTGCGAGGAGCACACGTCGCCGTCGGCAATTGACAGCGCCGGTACAAGTTTGGTAGCCCGCCGGCCCACCCACCGAGAGCCGCCGCCGACGCCAATGTGATTGGCGCACTGTCCCGGAAACTCGGTAATTGAATTTCATCGACCGCACTGTGCGATCTCGCACTGTGGCGGCGCGCGCCAAAAGCAGACACTTTGAAGGAATGTGGGCCCATTTCTGGCGCACACTGAGGCATCTCCCCCGGGAGTCGCCTCAAAGTCCCCGCGCGGCAATCATTTGAGCGCCGCCTAAAGAGTGTTTTACAAAGTGGAGTGTGCGAGCCAACACTCCAATGATGGGAAAATGTGCGACGCTAAAACTTAAACTTGTGTACCTGCGTGTGCTGTTGAAAATTGTGTAACTAGTTATTGTAACTAACTAAATTGTGGGCTGAGCACTGGCGGATCCAGGCTTGCGTTTTGGGGGGGGGGGGGCCAACTCATGCAGGAACCAAACCCCCAAATCCCCCAAATCCTGTTTTCTCATCGGATTTAGGGCACTTATTTTTCGTCACAGCCCTGACACTATGCATATTTTTTTAACTAAAAAGAAAAATATATAAATGGTAGCCCACCCGACCCATGCCTTTATATTACTTTGTAAACACTTACCATTGCTTTTGTCGACCAGTTAACCCGCTTCCAGTCAGTGCTTGGGTCCCTTTGCGGGCCGGGAGGTGGTAAAACACCCCCTGTCTAACTCGGCTTCTGGGCCACGCACTGATTGAACTATGTTTCATTATCGTTTGGGGGGAGGGGGCAAACGGGCCACTTTAGGCTAGGCCTCTGGGAAGGGGGCATGGCCCTAAATGCCCCCTCCCTGGATCCGCCAGTGTTAGAGACCATTGGAGCTGCAGTTGGGTACCTCAGACGTCAGGGTACGCCCTCAGATGTATAGGACTCGCATGGAGACCTCTTATGCTATAGTGGACTGAAAGGACCCAAAGGAGCCTGTCTAGGGCTCCCGGAGATAGACGTGGGCCCTCAGGAGCCCGCCAGAGCCCCCAATGAGGGATAAGTGAGGGATACCAAGTGCCTGCAATTGCATATTGCATAAGCCATAACGCCTTCACAAATCAATATATACCAGTATAGCGCCTTTTGGGGCGACTAACGGAGCGAGCGAGGGGGTGAGTCTTGCACGTGCGAAATTTCGAGGGGGTACCTCCAACTGACTTGTGCACGGCACCCTACTGACCGGTTTCTAGCGATGTGCCAAATTTGAGCACAATCGGCCCAGCCGTTCTCGAGATCTGGGAGCGGCATCCTGCACGTGCGCACGTGCAAAATGGGTCCCAACTGACTTGTGCACGGCACCCTACTAACTGGTCCCTAACCGTGTACCAAATTTGAGCGCCATCGGTCCAGCCGTTCTCGAGATCTGGAAACGACCCCTGCACGTGCGCACGTGCAGCAGCACCCCAATTCTGGCACATGGATATGCAGTGCCTAGTGGGTGCCTACCTACATGCCAACTTTCAGCGCAATCGGCCAAGTAGTTACCGAGATATTGCAACAATTACAAAACTGAAACCCCTTCGTTTTGCACGTGGCACGTGCATAAGGGGTCACCCACATGCATCGGGAATAGTCCAATACTTGGTAGAAGGAATGAAGCTACCCTACAAAAATTACCGCTTGTAAATCGGTCAAGTGGTTGCTGAGATATAAGCAGGGTTGTATACCAATCAAGTCGATTGAATTGATTGATTTGTTTCAACGCGTATTTTGAGTTGATTGGATTGAGTCGATTGACTTTTCGAGATGACTGGTTGACTGACTCGTTTGACTTTAGCGACTGGTTGACTGATTTGATTCCCGAAAATTAGAGTGACTCGTATGGTTGAGTCGATTGAATGGAAAGTTCAAATAAGTTTTAGTTGACGAAAAATAATGACACCAATGGGGGCGTTCCACGAGAAGCTAATATAGATGTCGCTGCTAGTCAAAGCCTCAAAGTTTTTTTGCGCAGATGTTCCAAATGCGGCGCAGTCATATCGTGTTCATCTTTGCTTTTTTGTACTGGAGCTGCTCGCAGTTGCCATTGTAAACGAATCAGTTTCATGGAAATGATGACTGACTGACGCTGGGAAGAAATTGCGAATATACTGCGTATGTCCTTCGAACTTGAATCTGAGTAGAGTTTGGAGTCGGGTTTATCAGATTGTGATTTAACTTGTTGAAAAGACGATCAGAAGCGTTAGGTAAAAGCGTTAGAAGGCCTTGGATAAAATAAAGAAGCTTGCAAACATGGTTGGCTGGTGTGTTCCTGGATGCAGTAGCACTGTTGGAGGGCACAAAATACCACGTGAAGAGAAGGTGAGCCAAGTGAATAGCCCGGTTACCACACGTCATATAACATTTTCAATATTTCTATGTCCAAATGGCAAGGTGGACTTGAAATTTTGTCAGAGATTTTAGCTCATTAAATTTATCAGTCATGTACATGGGTGGATAATGTGGTATGACAGGTGTGGCATGACCCAGACCACAACATAGATACTAGGCCACACCGAGATGTTCCTCGCTACACCAACTTTTGCAACCATTCTCCACCAAGGGCTTTGTGTACAAGAAATTGGCATATATTTGCTGCTGATACAGCCTGAAGGGCATACCTATCATGGATTGATCATGTGTAGTATATCATGTCGGCTGCCTGCCATTTAAGTACCTATGCCATTGCTGAAACTCCTTTTGAACTTTCCACAGCCTTTTGGCTTAAAGATGTCTCACTGAGGCCGTAATGTCAGTTTTCACATGCAACTTGCACATTCTTATAGTTAAATTGGTCTTGATACCCTGACCTGGAAATTCTTACCAATTCTTTCCACCAGGTACCAATTCTTTCTTTTAAAAATGCAAATCAGGACAAAATTCATTCGAGAACAAAGACATCCATAATCAGTAACTTCAAAGATTGTGAAGGAATGCAACACAATTCAATACAAAATATCATGCCAAGGTCAATAAATAGCAATTCTTTGCCAGGTAGTTCATACCTATTAACATTCTACCTTTGTTATTGTGTTCATTTTGATGCATAATCTAACCACAATTCCTCCTGTTTTGCTTTCAGTCAGGAAGCAGCTGAAATAAAATGCTGTCCCAAGCATTTTCCCATGGACTTCTGCAAAGAATAAGGTAGAAGTGCAGAGGAGAGCCAGGAGCATACAAAGACAGCACACATCTAAACAAGAAGATGTTGCTGAAGAGCCTGATGCAACTCTTGATAGGATAGGCAACTTTGATACAGTTGAGGAAGTTGTTGCTGAGAATGACTACCATGAAAATGCTGAAGTCGCTGATGAGTCTGCAGTTGCACCTCAGCCTGAGCGTGCTGATAAATCCGTGCAAGCAGAGCAAAGTAGCGTGAACTTCTCAGTAGACCGCTTCAGTAACAATGACAAGGCCATCAAGTTCTATACCGGATTTGATAGCTTCGAGCACTTTCGGATCGTATTTGACTGTCTGGGTCCGGCAGCGCATAGGCTTCAATATTACCCGGATGGCTCTGCTTGCACGGTGATCCCTCCTCTAGACTGTTTCTTCATTACACTGGTAAAGTTAAAGAGAAACAAAGAACTTTTTGAACTGAGCATGATGTATGACGTGTAAGTCTCGCTGATATCCAACATAGTCATCACATGGGTGAACTTAATGTATCGCGAGTTTCTGGACATGGGACTAGGTTGTGGGTTCGGGGCGGGCCGCAGCGAGGATTCAGGGATCACAAAGGTGATTATAGACTGTACAGAGGTAGCAACTGTGAAGCCTGGAAACGTGATCGCGCAGCACGCCACGTATAGTACGTACAAATCTACAAACACCATGAAGACACTAGTGGCAATAACACCCTCGGATATCGTAACTCACGTT